ATGTGGCATGCTAGATTAGAGCATATAAGTAAAGATATGAAGACTATATTAAAGAAAAAGGGATTATAGGATCCGTAGCCGAAGTAGATTTACCCACTTATGAATCTTATTTGATGGGCACTATAAAACCATTCTCTAAGGCTTAAGATCCAAAGAACCCTTAGAAATTTTGCACACATACATTTTTAGACCTTTTAATATGAAGGCCTGTAATATGTCTCACTACTTCATCAGTTTTATTGATGATTATCATGTGTACAATTGGATTCGGTACTGAACTCGCACAAGATCATAGCAAAATCTGCTCTTTACTGGTTAATTGAACTCAAGTAGATCGAGGTCCCGTCGAATTATGACCCAAAGGTGATCTGATCTCACATTAGAGATCCAACCCACCCTCTTTTGATCGTCGATATGGCCGACTTGTAAATCACATCAAAGTAAGTAAAATAGAAGAAGAGATTCTAGGAAAAAGAAAACCAATGAAATAAGACAAAAAAAATGATAAAATCAAACTAAAAATCAAAATAAAAGCAAAAGGAAGAGATCTCATGACCCTATCGACAGCCCCATACTCGGAGTAGAGGCCTTTATCAGAGCTTAGATTGATTTAATGAACTGCTTTTAATGAAATGAATGATTGAACTTTCTCTTTGAATGAACTAGCTTGATGATGAGCCTAAAAGGTTCTTTGTCTCTAGAGTGTTGGCCATGGCTGCAAAAAAACTAAGGTTACTGAGGCTCTAGTTTGGGCTTCTTAGAGACTAGGGTTAGGGTATTGGATGGAGAGAGCAAATTAGGTTTTCTTGATAATGTGCGGCCCTCTCTTAGGAGGTCAGAAAATAGGAGCTTTTATAGGTAAATGTAACCTAAAAATGTGTGAGGTGGTTGTCTACACCAATCAGGAGTCGGTAGATGTTCATGCCACAACTTGCAAGACAAATTGCCTATATGGCACGCTGTAAGTTCCAGTGCAAAGGACAATCGAACCAGGCTGGCATAGATTTCTTTGAGATTGTGATTGTGGTGATCAGAAATTGCTATATTAGCTCACATTTCATGTTGTTTGGTAGTTTGACATATTATGTTTCCTTTTCACTTGTAAACATGCCAGCTTTTTTTTTCAGAGTCTTCTAAAATGTGTTTTTGATAGAATATTTTCGATTTTCTAGGCATTCTAACTACAGTTTAGTGTGTTTTCGGTAGGGATATAACTATGATTTAGTGCCTTATAGTGTACTCGGCTAATATGGCCCTTAGGGCTTAAAAAAGGCTTATCTAGGGCTCATTTCATATGCTTTTGAAATTCAAAACTTTAAGAAAAATGTCAATTACAAAAATGGGATGTCTACAGCTACTCCTCTTTACTGCACCCAGCCTTTCGAAGAACAGGTGGGGTGGCAAAGATATAAATACATATAGTCATAAATAAAATGAATGGTAAAAAATGACTTAGAAACTTAGAACTAATGCTTAGAGGGTGTTTGTCCCTTCAATTTCGTCAGCACATTGACTGCCACCCATCTTGGTTGCCTGCCTAGGAATTTATGCATCTAGGGCTTACAGGCTGAGCATTCTCTGGGGTGCTCTTTGGCAGTATATGTCGAGATTGCTCTGGATTCACCATGTCCTTCATTCTTAATTTTGAAGCCTGATAAAATGAAATGGATGGTAAAATTGAAATTGACTTCCTCCTTTTAATCTCTTATTTCTCAGCTTTCCTTGCTGAGAAAGGACTCCTAAAGGTGATTCAAAGTCTTAAATCAACATTTCTTGCATCAAAAGAGTTTGCAAGGCTTAGTCTCTACTCTTTTGTTTCTGAAAATATTTTAGAAAAATTTTGAAAACAAGGAGAAGTTTTAGAAACAGAACTGAGCATTGAGTTACAATTTAAATCAAAATATATTAAGTTTTTAAAAACAATGAGGCACAAAATTTTGAAAACATCCAAACCAGGACTACTTCTGTATTTGAAGTTTGGAAATTAAAATTAAGAATCAGAAATTAAGAAATACAACTCAAGGGATTGGAACTAAGAATTATAAATTAAGAAATAAATTATAGAAATACATAATTAAAATGAAGAACCAAAATTAAGAAATAAAAATTATAAAATTATAAAGAATATTTTGAAAAGAGGGAGATATCTGAAAATGGCTCAGTTAACAATTTTAGCTCATACAACCATAGAGCCAACTAAGCAGTTTAACGTCATGTAGTGATGGAGGAAGACGGCAATTTAATGTCTTGCTTAGGACATTTGCTCCTGTTTATTTTATGTCATATGGTTATATGTTTGAATTAATGAAATTAGCAGTTTACCCTAATGCATAGAGTTTACTGAATTTGACTGAAAATGGCAATTTGGATTCATACCAACTGAGGAGATCTTTTATTGAAGGTGGTAGTTTGGATTGATGCCAAGAATAAGAAGAATTTTGACTGAAATTGTGGTAGTAGTTTAAGCTCATGCCACCACGTTGCACTGAAAGAATAGAGTGGTGGCAGTTTAGACTTATACCACCAAGTTGCACTGAAAGAATAGAGTGGTGGCAGTTTAGGCTCATACAACCAAGGAGCCCTAAAAAGAATTTTTTGAAAAATGAAGGGAAAATTATAGAAATAGATTGGTCTTAATTTAGCCTCATTTGACCAAGGAGCCCTAAGTAATTTTGGAAGGGGTGATGTATTTTTCTGGGATTGCCCTGAGAAGTTTGGCGCCTTTGCAAAATTTAAATGAAAGGGGAGGATTTTTATTAACTAAAGGGGGCTATTTGAAAATTTGTGAGAATAGGGGCTGATTTGAAAAGGTTTTGTTTTATTTTATTTCATTTCATTTTTCTAAGAAGGATGGATTAGTGAAGAGAAGCACGCCTTCATGCACTCAGAGTTACCTATCTTGGTGGGAGAAACCGCCCTTACCTCTGTCAAATGTTCCTGTTCGCCTGGTTCCTGAGGCAGTGGTACCCCAAGAACCAAATAAGAGAACTAGGCCTCAAAATTGGAGAGATCCTCATTGTATGAAAGGATCATTGTCGGAACTTTTTTACAATTTCCACTCAATTTTAGAGTAAAGAATAAAATTTATTTTTCTCATGTAAAGCAGTCTCCTTCTCTTCTTTCTTACCCTCGTATTGATTTTTCTGGCATTCCTAAAAAAAAAAAAAAAGCTCTGGAATTCCTATCTACCCATTAGGGCTGGATAGGGCAGGGACAGGCTGCCCGGCCATTGCCAGAACTAAATAGAACATTGTTCTGGTTGCATAAGTGTTTAGGAAATAGTACGTTGAAGAATCATTTCCAAAAATTAGTTTGACTTGTGTATAAGCAGGAAGTCCAGAGAGAATAGATGATATTTATTAGGAAGGGTATATGATAAGAATTGGGAAATTGTTTGGGGATATCATATGGTTTCTGATGTAGTTATTTCACAATTGACTCAGATGTTACAGGAACTAAAGAAGATCTGTATTACCCTGAAAAGGAAGATTACGCAGTATTGGAGACAAGAGTCAGATGGTGCATTCTCGGTAAAATATTTTACATTGTTGTTTCATGCGAGCTTAGATGGGAAGAACCTAGAAAAATTAGGATAATATGGAAAGCTATTTGGGCAACCATTCCATGGGAAATCTAAAAGGAGAGAAATTGTAGGGTATTTTAAGAAGTCTTATTTAAGCGAGAAATGATTTAAGAATAGGATCCTGGAATCCTTATCCAATTCTGTTAAAATGTCTATTAAAAAAGATTAGTGGTATTTATAAGTGGGAATACCTAAAAAGGAAGATTACGCAGTATTGGAGACAAGTCAGATGGTGCATTCCCGGTAAAATATTTTCCATTGTTGTTTCATGACGAGCTTAGATGGGAAGAACCTAGAAAAATTAGGATAATATGGAAAGCTAAAAAGGAGAGTAAATGGAATATGGGTACTTCCTCATGTAGAAATAATTAAGCTTAATTTTTAACGCCTACCTAAAGTACAACATAGACATGATGAACAAGAAGACTGGTCGGCGAATCACATGTTGAAGCTGCTGATGGCTGCTTAAACTTTATTTCCCTTAGGCAAAACGTGATCAATAGATGAGCTCACATGTCAAATACCCAGTTTTCACAAAATCGAACTGGAACAGCTAACCGGATATAAGTCCAGGTACAGTTTAACCGGCCTAACCGGTAAACTGGCCGCTTCAACAGTTCTAACCGGACAAGTCCCTAATGCTAAAAAAATTGTTCAAAAAAATAAAAATGATACATAAAATATCTACTAAAATATGAAAAAACATATAAAGAATGATTAAAACAAAATCCATTCAAATAAATTTGAAAATCAATGAAAAATTTGGATTTTAAAGAACCGATTTGCGCATGTGCCAAGGGGTATTTTTAAAATTTTTCAAAAAAAGTACAAAAATATAAAAATGAGTATTAAAGACCAACACAATTTCTAATCTTTACCCTAATGTAAAGAATATTAAAAACTGTATCACAAATCAAATTTTTTATTTTGAAATTTTATATACATTTCTTTTGAAATTTTTTGTTAAAATACCGACCGATCACCAGAACCACCCAAAACCCGAACTGGCCAGTTCCAATCTTACCAAGTGGTTACAGGATAGATCGCCCGGTTTCCAACATGGATCATACCTAATGGGCTAGAAAATGGGTTTTGAGTGCACATGTATCATCACTTTGCTCTTCACTACTCATACCGTAAACTATCCAAGTGCCGACATAAAGGCCGAAACAACAAACAACAGATCCTCATCAGTCTGCCAGGGCAAAGTTACTGCAACAGTCTACTTCTACATTTTTGGAATTGGCATTATGTTGCATGAGAAAACCCGCACATCAATAACATCGTCGAGACTGGAGGGTTAATCATATAGTAAAACGGCGGAGAGAAACAAGAAGCCCTAACAGATCAAAACGAAAATGACTCAAAAAGTCATTTCCATAACATTCATGTTAATGGCGATGACAATTTTGAGTGAATTAACTAGAGAGCATCTTTGATTGGAATATCACATTTTTTCAGGAGCAAAATTGATGAGCAAATCTTTAGCAGTCGTCCACATGAATCGACCATAAATAATATCAGTCTCATGCCTCTCCTGTAGTTCACATGGTGTCCTACAATCCTAACCATTCCGACAAAGAACAAGTTTCATATAACAATAAACTGGTTGGCTCGAACAGAGGTGGACTAATATGAAACGGAAAACAACTGAAAATCGACCCTGCTAGTGAGACCAACATTTTTTCTCAAGAAAAAACATGAACTCTCATAGTCCAAATGTCATCCGACCAGCCAGCCTGCTTTCTGATATCCTTCTGTCGATGGCCGCATTAACCGAGTTCATCTGAAACAACAAAAATGACCAAGCATAAATTATCAGAGAGCATGTAAAATTATGTCATATCATTCATGATAAAAACCTTTCTTCATGCAATAAAATACCAAGCTTCTAAAGCTGAATAAGAGCTGACCTGTGCCAAGCCTGAATGCACGAGTGACCAAAAAAGATAACAACAAATGCTACGAATTTGCAAAAGCCTGTTGGCCATATTCTCGTCTCACCCAAACCCCCACGCTCGTTAAAATCAGAGGGAGATGAATACTAAATGGCAATTCAAATTTCCAGTATAAACAGAAAACATTCATACTCCACACAAGTATATTTGAATGTTGGACACATTATAGAGTTTAGCCTGTGGATCCTTCTCACCACACTATACTATGAGGAGGTGGGAGAATTGATTCCACAAGAGTGTACTATTTTAGATATGTATTACTTGCCTTCTCAGCTATGAAGAGGGAAATAGCAGATGGTGTATGGTCCTCAGAGATGATTTAAGTTGTCCCTTAAAAAAATAAACCAAAAAGCAGAAAAGAACAGCCTACCAATCCATTTGCCGAGCAAAGCAACTTGCATATCCATTGGAATGAATGGGGAATGAGATAGTGGTGACTTACCTGTGATGTCTCATCATGCACCTGATATTTTGGTAAAGACATTCTCCTTTCCTCCTAGACAAATTTAAGAAAACAGTGCCACCACCAAATATGAAACAGTTACAAATTTAGATACACAAAAGTGGCAAGCAAAAGCAAATCAAATAACAACCAAAGAGAAAAGTGCAAAAATCAAATAACAGTTCAAGAGGGCAAAGATCAGCCAACTAACCATAGACATTGCCTCATCATCCCATACCAAATAGACCTCATTAGCGCCTGGATGAGAAGCTGGGACTTTATTGGCTATCACAGGTGGGGGACCGATGGAAGGACCACCAGTATTTGGACCAGAGGCATACATATGAGAATTGGTCATTGGAACACCTAGCAAAATAACCAAAATTAGAGGGAAAACAAAGTTAATCTTAATCAGATGAAGCTATTTGGCAATACAAGTCAATATCAGAGACAATTCTAGTGTCTTCATCAGTCAATAAATAAACGAGTAGAACGCCATCCTTCAACTGATAAAAGTCACTTATCCTCTTCTTTGTAGCAAGTGTGAATGCACTATGTTGTTGACAACTCTTTTTTGTTGTTTTTTAGTTGGCCCTTTTTTTAAAGGAAAAAGTTTATACAAGGGTGAGGCCCTAAACAATCAAATTACAGCACACATCAAAAATTCACTAGAAGAGGTTGTATCAATGCCCAAAAATCCTCAAATTGATCATCTCGACCTCAAGATGTATAAATATGAAAAAAATCGATTTCAAGTCTTGAAAATAGTACATCTAGTAATGCATTTTCTGGACCATCAATTTTCAAGATTATCAATTATTCGTACATCTGCTCGATCTACACTATTTTGAAGCTTTAAATTTTATAATTAGAGATGAAAATAAATTTTCAGACCATAAAAAAGATTTTCAGTACTGACATTTTTCGACACTATTTCAAGATGCGCCTTACTTTGATTGTTTAGGACCTCAGACTTAAACAAACCACACCTTTTTATAAATGCTGATTTTATATAATGATTTTGTCATTGACAGTTTAGTCAATGGCCACCACCCTAGGGAATATGGAGATCCTCCACACCCAGGGAACCACAAACAGATCCATAGAAAGACTTAAAAAAGAAAAAATTTCCAGATCATAAGTTCCACACTATTCCATCTGTCCCTCTACTAAGGGCAGAAACACAACCAACACTCCATAAGGATGATCAACTCTACAACCTCCCATGATTTCATCCCTCCAAAACTAAAGTGCCATACCCCCTCTACTCCTCTTTGAGCAATAAAAAACAAACCATAGCTTCATCAACCATGACCATAAAACCATTTTGGAACTCTAGACCCACCCTAACTACTACAGTACCAAACTCAAAACTCCCTGAATTCAGGTTGATGTATTGCACTAGCACTTGAGATGATTATGGACAGAAATCAAGAATGAGATTATGGAACTAGCTAGAAAGGTAGTGGATAGAGAAGGGGTGCAAGTTTTTTTTACTCAAATTTATTATGCTCCCATACTTTGCACTGTACATCTAGCATGCATTATAATCAGCAATCAACAAAATGAAGAAAAAAGTTCTCCAAGGACTGATCCAATAAATATCTTCATCACAGCAAAGAGCATGGTTGCTTATAACGACTATTATTATATCTAGCTTACAAAATTCAACAGTAGATGCACTAATTTTTAGTATGTTAGCCTGTATTTAAACTTTAGATATTGGACAGCGAGGCTAACACCATAACCACCGAGTCAAGAGCACCAACCCCCAACAAAACATAAATTGTGAACAAGGCAATTTTTTCTTTCCAAGTTCCAAACTAGCACTAGTCCGTAAAGGACTGCCATATCATTTAAAATTTTGTTCACATGCCTGCCCATACAATGCCCTGTGCAGGCCACACAATGCAGCCTGGATCACTGGCACCGAGGGAAGCCCCATGCCACGCATACTGATAAGGGTGAAGGTCTCATCCTGCATGCACCAGTGTAGTTAGAGGCTAATGCCTCACACTAGCTGTCTGCAAAGGCCTCAAGCAACAGGCCCAATTGAATGGAACTGCTGAGCCCAGCAACGTAAGGGCACACAAGGCCTCCCTCAGGCCCCGAACCAAAATGAGGATGCTCATGAACCAAAAGACCACAAAGTGTGATGGGATGCCTCAGGGGCAGCCGCTATTCTGCTTAAGGTTCCATATTGCAGCTTAAGATGCAATGTTGTGAAGGCCTAAGAAAAAAAATTTAATTGATACTTAAAGCATTTCTAACCTTGGGTACTCAGAGAGTGCAAAGCTGTTCCACCATAGCTAGTTGCCGTGACAGGGCTTGAGACAGCACTGGTATCAATTGTACTTCTTAATTCTGCAAGAGAACTTGGGGGGATGCTAATAGGAGGTGTGACAGCCGGGTATGGTAAAGTTAGGCTGAGTGTACTGCTACTGCTACTGATAGGAAATAAAGGTTGAGAAACAGGAGGTTGGGGTGTTGAAGTTGGCAATCCAGGTGGGTTAATTGGGAATGATGCTGGAAATGGTGTGGGGTTAGTAGGAGGTTTTACATTCTGGATTGGAAACAAAGGTTGCCCTTGGGGTCGTGGTGGCAGCACAGGAACAGTGGGAGTTAAAGCAACCGGTGTTTGTTGTGGAAACCAAGGTTGGGGATAAGTAGGAACAGTGTAAGGTGGAACATGCATTGGTATGGAGGTGGCATTGTAACTGCTGCAAATTGCACACAAACACATGCGTCAGTCAATAAATTCAAACAACCAACTCAATGAATCAAGCAGGTGATATATGAACCTCATCAATGTTATGCCACAAAACTGTCCATAATAAAGATGAAGCAGAACAATCTGCCCATAGATACACAACAAATGCGCAATTTGGAAACTTTCATATATTCTCGTCAGTAGGGTATGTCAATACCCTGTCAAACTAAAAAGATGCGAAGTCAGATTTCCAGTGCAATTTTTGAATGGTGAATGACAGTCTGCTCCCACAGGCACGCCATAATTGGTGCTGCACCACACCTCAAGAACCACGTTTCAGGAGCAGAGGGATCCAAAAGTCCCAAATCTCACCAAGTTTGATTTGATAGAGAGATTCAAAAGCATCCAAGCATCTTCCATGGGAATGGATGCTACCAATATGATTTTGGGATCGTGTAGGATATGGAGCACTATTTGAGCTCCAAATCATTTTTTTTTATGAGAGAACTGATTTCAGAGTGTGAGAGAATAATTAGGAAGTTGATTAGCACGCCCCCTCAACCAACCACCACCACCCCGTGCTCCCAATGAGCAACAAAAAAAGAAAGAAGAAAAAAAAAATCAACAGAAGGCAATGCAAAAATAGTTTTTAAGGTGGGGTGAAAAAACAAGTCTGGTGATCACCAGACAGAAGAGGTGGGGTGCAACACCAAGTTTGGTTAACACCAACCCTCAACAGAAGGCAATGCAAAAGTAGTTTTTGAGGTGGGGTGCAACACCAAGTCTGGTGATCATTATCAATTGATGGTCAGAAATAATTTGGATTTTCCCAAAATGGTTCATATTAAAAAATAAGGCCAAATAAAATGCGAATTCGCCAGCACAAAACTGATGGGAATGGTTCTTAAAAGTTTACCAGGTATAATTCTTACTTTTGTTGTCCAGCAGAATAAGCTGGTTGTGGGGGAAGGCCAATCACTGCTGACCCCGGTAGAATGCCTCCAAGCCTGGTGGGGGGAACCTCCACTTTGGAGAATTTTGCTGTAGCCTCTTCATCTACAAAACCATTTTCAAATAAGATGTGAAGCAAAATACACTCTTCTAGACAAATCCAATTCGCTTATCACCTTATACTCTCATAACCATCATCAAGATGCCAAAATTATGATCACAATCATCTGTCCATATACAGCTTAGGCAAGAATTCAAATACAAATGTCCAATGAACAGTCAATTTGTTGCATGAAACACAATGTCTTCCATTTAATACAGTAGAGACAAATAAAACTGACTTGCGGATAATAATGGAAATTTTACCTTGAGTAAATAATCTGACATAACAATTGGAGAAGATGAAAAATACATAGACTAATGTGACAAAATAATTGTACCCTGAAATTTTAATTTTAAATTGTTTCGTGCCATCAACGTTTATCAGCATTGAAACACATGTGGACACTTCTAGTTTAGACCGAGACAAGTGATTACTTCTGAAGATTCTAACTATTAGTCAGTGCAAGATGGAAGCACAGAAAGGATACGAGACAGTAGGTTTCTTTCTGGGTACTCTTTGGTGATAGTGTTAGAAACAGTATCAATGAGTAACTGGCACAGATTCAATCGAAAACCTTATGACTTAACGTTCAAAACAGTTGAAAACCTTACGACTTAATGTTCAAAACATTTGAACTCAATAATTAACTAATGAAGCATATTTGGAAGTGCCTCCACCGCACATCAGCTTGCATTTCATAGACATTCCCATGATCTTCTTCCAATTAGGAGACTCTCAATATATGAAATGATATCCATGTTAGTAAAATTTATAATTTTCACCCTATTTTTAGGTTGTTAGGAGCCCTATCAACAAATTTCATAAGAGAGTCAACTCATTTTTGTATCGGATATTGAACAATTCTAGCCATATTTTCCTCTTAACAATTGCTCCAGCTACCTTTCACAAAAAACTAAATATTTGCTTTTTCTTTGACCAAAGGAAACCAGAAAATCATATTTTTTCAAGTTTCAAGCCTATCAAATCCCCTAAAGGCAAGCAAGCCGTGTTACACTGGAATTTTCTTTGCATGCTTGAATTTTGACAATTTCTTTCATTTATTTCTTTATTTATTTTTTGAGAGTTAGTTGACCATTTTCAATTTTAAACATGCAAAGGCTTGCATGGAAAGGCAATGTTCCAAATTGATGATGGCCTTTGTCCTCAAATGACATACAAAACCACATTTCCTATTGGATCTCATCAAAGGTAATTTATTCACTTATTTTAAATATTTTAAAATCTTAAGATTGAATGTAGATTTTTGTAGTGAATAGAAAAGCTCACTTTTCCTATGCCTTGCCTTGGATAATTCTATGACATCACTTGACCAACACCATACCCATGGCAACATGGTGATTGTTGGCTTGGGCCGGCACAATATTGGGCAGTCAGCTTGATGCAGCCCAATAGGCCCCATGCTGAAAAAATAGGGCCTAGGCCACAAAATGTGGGCTAGCAGAGCCCATTCTAGCCTAAACCACAACAGGTTGGCCCGGCCAGGCCCTGTGTATTTCCTAATTTTTCTTTCTTTCTTCTCTTGAATCTATTAAGCCCATCCTGACCAGGGCAGGACTTGGGCCCCTTTGGCCCGATCCGTTTCACAACCTGGCTCTCTTCACAACCTGAGCTCTGATACCATGTTGAAATTTTATGGATAAGGCTTTGATACCACTGATAATTGAAAGCACGCACTCACTTTCTTTCTTGGAGAGATAAACACAAACACATTCATAGGTTACGTACAATTACATATTGGTTGCCTCCATAAGTTGCTTATATCTACAACCACAGGCACACATTACTTCAATATATGGAGCCCATATATATAGGCATTTACAACAAAACTAGCCACTACCCACGCGTTGGATAACTACCCATTACCTACGTGAAGAGATATATAACTTCCCACTATCATAACTACCCATACATTCCACTTTTACATAGAGAGATAGACATAACTTCCCATTATCTTAACTATCCCACATTCCTATTTTTTGCATCATCTTTAACAGCCTGCAAGTATTGTCCAGGCATCGTATAAGTTGTGCCCAGCGAAGGGGCATTACTGTTGTCCATCATCAAATGGAAGACAGATTCTGCCACCAGCCACATGCGAGCAAGTCATGCTAGAGACCATTGCTCTCGCTCCTGTTACTGTTGTTCGTCAACAACAAAGAGGCATCGTCGACGATGGCGGGGTACCGACAAGCGGCGGATGAGAGAGAGACAAAGCATGAGAAAGGCGGCATGGGAGGAGGAGAGAGAAATCCCATAAAATGTCTTATTTTCAATTTAGAGACAGAGTATTGTAACACCTCAGTTAAGAGGTGTCAATTTTTGATGGAGAGAGTGGAGCGTATAAAGCGCATGAAAAATGTGTTTAACAGAGAGAGAGACTATTGTAACACCTCAATTAAGAGGTGTCAAAATACAAATCAAATGTGTTAAGATGCCACGTAATACGTAAAAACCAACCTCCTCATGAAAAGTTACAAGTATAAGATGGTGGACCTAAAGTCCACCCAAATAAAATTGGACCATCCAAATATTTAACAAATTAACTAATTGAACTCCATTATACAAAATTAAGTTGTATCATATATAACTAAATAAATCATGTGTAATAATTTACAATTAGTACACAAAATATTGTAATGCTAAAATTTATTATTATTATTATTATTATTATTATTATTCAATTTCAAAAAAATTAGGGTCATCACATTCTCACACATCCACGGTCTTTGTGAGAGGCATAGGTGCAAGCTGCAAAGTCCTCATTTCCTTCACGTAAGATCAGTATCGGAGTCATGGTTAGTCTCCCTTTTAGCTCTTGGAAGGTATTCTCATAGTCATCTGACCATACAAACTTCACAGTCTTCTGGGTCCGTCGTGTCAAAGGAAGACCTATTTTCGAGAATCCTTCTATAAGGAGCCTATAATATCCTGTTAACACCAAGAAACTACGAACTTTTGTAACGTTTGTCAGTTTTCCCCACATGATCACGGCTTCAATATTTGACGGGTCAACAACGATTCCATCTTTAGAAACAATATGCCCAAGAAAGGCCACACTAGAAAGCCAGAACTCACACATGCTCAACTTGGCATACAATGTTTGACTTCAGAGTCTGAAGCACTTCTCTCAGGTGTTATTCATGCTCGTCTTGACTCTTTGAATACACCAAAATATCGCCAATGAAGATCACCACAAATTATCCAACACATGATTTGGAGCTTGCGGCTACAAAATTCGCCCTAAAAATTTGGAGACATTATCTCTATGGAGCCAAATTTGAGGTGTTAACGTACTATAAAAGCCTCAAGTATTTGTTCTCCCAAAAGGAGTTGAACAAGGTAAAGGAGATGGAAGGACCTGTTGACCAATTATGACTGTACCATCCAATATCACCCGGGTAAGACTAATGTAGTACTAGACACTTTAACCAGGAAACCCATGATATCTATGGCTCATCTAATGATTCAAGAGATGAAGATGTTAGAAGAGATAATGGATTGGCATCCGACACCGCCCTTAATAGGGTAGTAGGTATGATTGCTAACATAAGGGCGAAACCCCAACTAATTCAAAAGGTTTGATTGGCACAAAAGATGGACCCTTAGCTTATGAAAATTATAGAAGAGATGAAGCTGGGAAAAAGAGACGAATTCTCTATAAGTAATGATGATTTATTAAGATTCAAAGGTCCGGTCTGCATCCCAAACGACAAGAGTGTGAAGAAAGCTATTTTGGAAGAAGCACACCACTCCCATTATACTATACATCCTGCGAGTACTAAGAGGTACCAGGATCTGAAGAAAACCTTATAGTGGAATGACATGAAAAGAGAGGTAGCACTATTTGTATCTAAGTGCTTAACATACCAGCTAGTAAAAGCTGAGCATTAGAAGCCCGCCAGAGTGGAAATGGGAGCACATTTCTATAGATTTCGTCTCCGGCTTGCCTAGAGGGTATGACAGTATTGGGTCATTCTGCATTGGTTGACCAAAGTTACTCACTTTCTACCGATCCACACAACCTACACTTTGGATCCAATTGTACATCAAGGAGATAGTGAGGTTGCATGGAGTTCCGGTCAGCTACATTAAGTTCCGGTCAGCATTGTGTTTGACAGGGACACTCGATTTACCTCTAGATTTTGGGCTAGTCTGCAATTAGCCTTAGGGACGTGACCCACCTTTAGCACTGCCTTTCACACCAGACTGATGGGCAATCACAGAGGACCTAACCTTCATTGAGCGACCAATTCAAATACTGGAGAGGAGGGTGCAAGTGTTACATAACAAGAAGATTCCTCTAGTCCGTGTATTGTGACAGTACCATTCGAGGGAGGAATCGACCAGGGAACGAGAAGATGAGATCCGAGAAATATACCCCCACCTTTTTTAACAACACGTACAAAAAATTTAAAGGAGTAATTTTCTATAAGGGGGGGAGAATGTGATGACCCTAATTTTTCTAAAACTGAATAATAATAATAACAATAATAATAATAATAATAATAATAATAATAATAATAATAATAATAATAATAACAATAATAATAATAATAATAGTAATAAATTTTAGCATTACAATATTATGTGTACCAATTTTAAATTATTACACATGATTTATTCAATTATATATGATACACTTAATTTTGTATCATGGAGTTCAATTAGTTAATTTGTTAAATATTTGGATGGTCTAATTTTATTTGGGTGGACCATAGATCCACCATCTTTACTTTTAACTTTTCATGAGGAGGTTGGTTTTTACCTATTACGTGGCATCTTAACACCTCATTTGATTTTGTATTTTCACAACTCTTAATTGAGGCGTTACAATAGTCTCCTCTCTGTTAAGCACACTTTGCATACGCCCTACTCGCTCCATCAAAAATTAATACCTCTTAACTGAGGTGTTACAATACTCTCTCTCTCTCTAAGCTGAAAATAAGACATTTTATGGGATCTCTTTCTCCTCCTCCCATGC